TTTCTGTATCTGTGATAGGTATCGTATATATATATTAGGGTGGTCCTAAATATGTATATTTTCTAATTTCTTTGTTCCCAGAGGCTCAAATGCTTTCAAATTGATAAAAAAAATCCTTGAAAGTTTTAGCTCTCAATATTAATTTTAAGACAGTCAGTACTCCAACCAAAGTTTCTTATGGAAATATCATGGGAAAAAATCCATTTGTTTTTTAGAACTTTACTTAGCTTTATTAATTTTGGAAATGCATTATTATTTTCTATAAAATTCATAAGAAATTTGTTATTTTATTTATATGAAGTTAACACATGGGCAAAATGTATCTTCGTTTATTGATTATGCAATTGGAAATTACATTACCATCTGCTCATCATGAAAGGTCAAAAGTGTTTTACTAAACCTATTTGCGGATCACACTTTCACTGCTTTTCATTATATTAAATTTTAATATATGTATGTTGATGCATGTTGAATTAATAGCCTGTTAATGATTTATTACTGTAACTTATCCTTTTCTATAGATCTTATAACCTTCAGTGCGCTCTCTGGCACTTTCATAAATTGAAAAAAAAACATAATATGTTAGATTTAATTGTAATTATATAGGTAATGGATGAACGATTAGAACTTTTACCCGTATTGTAGCAAGGTTTACTACAAAATCATAATAAATATAAATATTTAGTTTTAAAATACTGTATTTTTGTGTCGTACAATTATAAGTAGATTTGATTCTTTAGCGACATCACTTTTCACCAGGATTTGTAAATGAATTATATTACTTTGTCCAAAAGACTTCGAAACGTAAAGATCTATAAAAATCTTTATTCTCTATTTTCTTGCGATTACTATAACTTATTCTACCCCATACCCTATATTTTGTTTAGTAAGCATTTTAAGTCTTCAATACTAAATAATAAATAGGACTCCGCGTATGAAAATAGAAATATGATATTCTATTCTCTGTGTTGTTTATCAGTGATCTTAAGTACAGATTGTTCTAACCAGTATTTTATTTATTTTTAAAACAATATTGAATTACAACATGGGACAATAAAATAAAACATGCAATATTTATCTATCGATCTTTTGGAACAATGGTCGTTTGTTCATGTTACATCTCATTTGTAAATATCCGTAAGACAATTGGCGTTTAAGAAAACGAGATGAGCAAGTGTACACTTTCCTTTGACAATATTTACATTATTCGTTATAGCCCGTGTGCTAACAGTCAGTCTTGGTTGGCTTTCAGGAAACAGCCTAGTTTTCAAAAACTCAAATAACGTCACACTTACGATTAAAATATGTGACAAATATAACTCAGAATCGTCATTAGTCGATACTGACAATGATTCATTCATCAGGATATTGAATCCAGAGCAGTTTGAAAGCTAATTTCCAAGATTCGAAACAATTTCAATGTATTTCTTCAATTTTCTCGAACTAATCAAACATTTTTAAATAGAGTAGAGCGGGGCTTAGATGTCCGCAGGTAAAAAAGTCCACCACCGATATTTCAAAAACAAGTAATGTTAAGAACTTTTTAACAATTTTTGAAAGTAGAGGAAAAAAGATGTACGAGGTCTGTTCAAAAAGTACCCGGAATTACTAATAATTAAATTTCGCGGGTCTGGAGTGTCTGATTGTCAAATTTTTTTTTTTATTGTGTTGGTATACATGCCCCTAAAGTATGATGAAATTTTCAGCTATATTCACTGTTTACTTTGTCTGTGGTTGTCGCTAAGGTTCGACGTGTTTTTCTGAGCTCGGCGATTTTTACAATGGAAGAATTGAAAAGTCAAAGAATTTGTATTAAATTTTGCGTAAAAAATGAAATAAACTGTTGCAAAGTGCAAAAATTCACCAGATATGGCTCCGTGTGACTTTTTTCTATTCCCAAAGTTGAAGAGACCCATGAAAGGACGGCGGTTTTCCTCGATTGAAGAAAATCGCTGAGAGTGCTCAAGGACATATCAAAAAGTGAATATCAAGGGTGCTTCGAAAATTGGAAAAAACGCTGGCATAAGTGTATTATATCTGGGGGGGATTACTTTGAAGGGGACCACATTAATGTAGACGAATAAATAAATATTTTTTTGAAAAAACGAAAATTCCGGGTACTTTTTGAACAGACCTCGTATAACCAGCCATTATCTAGAACTTTACAACGTTGCTTTCGGGAAATAAACGGCAATATTTGAAAATTCATAACTAAAGTTCTTTCGTTGTTTTTTAGGTTGTAAGCACTGCCGTTTATTTTTCGAGACCTTCATACAATATATTTTTTAAGCAAACATTATTTATATTTTTTTAAAACTTACACGTGAGTAGGGTAAGAACCTCTACCCTGGCAGAGGTATGAACAATAAAAAATAGTAAATAAAATTTTACAAAAGTTAGGTTAAATAAATATTTATTTTAAACCTGCTGATGATTTTTTTTATGAAATACTACATCAATGTTATATACAGTTATTATCTCTGAAAATAATACCCAAAAAATTTATATTTCGTATTAGTTAAATAATGTAGCTATTATTTCGTAAAATCCCTTCGAGACTAAGAACATACATTGGACCTGTTTGCCCCATGGCCGTCTCATTTTACCCCGCCTATGGGGTGAAAAGGACCAGGTTACAAATGGTTTAATAACAACAATAACATATTTCTTAAATGATGAATTAGCTAGGAGTTTAACTGAACATAGTCTGATAGTTGTTTGTTTGATATGTGTTACTTGTTATAATTGGTTTGGTTTTCACAATATAATTGCTCAAAGTCAAATCGGAGCTTTGTGCCCCACCCTACCCTAAATATAATACGCTTATTTTATTTTAAAATTATCAATTCATTTGAACAAGAATATTGATAATGAAAGGATACACAATTAATATAACCGATTAATTAGCTACTTGTAAACACATGTACTAATACAATAGTTATAAGGTCTTATTTAAACAATGAAAAATTATTTTAATTATCCGTATTTCCTAAACTTTTATTTCATCAATTTGAATCTTTTTCGGTAGATGGCAGGTGGTTATTTTCCTCTCCTTGATAAACAAAGAAAAGTATGTATAAATAATTCGTCTATAAATTGTATAAAAAACAGTTGTTGATAGATTCAAAGGAAATAATCAGCTTTGTAAATCAAATATCTGTATCAAGTTTTTATGGGTAAATATAATTTAAATAAAAGAAAAGTATAGAATTATTATTTGTGTAAGGTTATTCGAGTATAACAGATAATATATTAATCTAACGTCTAGATTTTTATTTCTATTGTTCAAATTATATGGTTGACAAAGTTAAAAAATTAAAAACGTAAAATAATTTGCACATTTTTATCATACGTTGTTATAGTTTCACTATAACGTTATCGTTTTTGCTTGATGTGAATATACACTGCAAAGTTTATATTTATAATATGTTACGCTTGTGAGTTTTTTCGTTTTCAATTGATACTAATCTAATATTATAGAAATGGTATCACATTTCCTTATCAGAAAAACAAATTAAAAAACATCCGTTATTTCCATATTAATTTTCTAAAAATGAGTTAAATAGACATTAGTTTTTCCCCAAACTTAAGAGGACAAATGGAACAATTCTGTATTCACAAATCATCTTTGAAAATTAAGAGATGTTCATTGAAAAAACAAATGAAATTATTCTTGTTACATTTGAGTGATAACAATTAACTTTACAAGCTTTTCAGGAGCTGATAGTCATTACAATGTAGTAATTGTAATATAATAAATAATTAGTACGTCGAGTATAACAATTAAATCGTAAAATTTTTCAATACTAAATATTTACTTGCTAATTACGAAAAAAATGTTAACACGTATCATTCGCATTTATAAGATATTCTTTAAATCATGGTGGTACAGTTGACTTTTTCGAGGAAACTTCGATGAAAACCAAAGTTTTTAAAAAAAGCACGCATATATATATATATATATATATATATATATATATATATATATTCACACATACTTTGTCAAAGGATTCACAAAACTTTTGACTTGAAAAAAGAAAACAGAAAAGAAAAATTACCGAATCCTATTTTGTTTCTCATTCGAGATGTCAATTTAATCTTGCTTTGGATAATGCGATACTCATAACGAATAAATTACATAACTTAGAATAGTTTTTGTGATTTTTTTTATTATAATTGGTTGTCCATTAAGTCAAATAAATTACTTTAGGTCTACAAATTTTGAATTCTGATCTACAATTAGTTTTGATTCTGCATAGAACCAACCCAAGAAATTTGAAATCCTGAGTATTGACTTATTTAAATTTTCTTTAAATTAATTCACATTAACTCTATTATCAATTTACAATATAATTTAACGCAGCCCAGAATGGATATGAGCATACAATAAATTGACAGGGATGGATAAATTCTTGCAATTTCAATAAGATTTCAAGAGATTTAATTGAATTTATTAATCTAATTTAGTTAATTAACTTCGCTTAGGATAAGTTATAGTAATCACAAAATTCAAAAATCAAATATTTTATATATCTTCACATTTCGAAGGTTTTTGAACATTTTGACATATCTTGGAAAAAAATGGATGTATGTGGGTGCGTGTGTGTGAATACAAATGTTTGTCGATGATTTTGGAAACACGGATCAATCGATTTGAGTATTTCGAAAAAACATTGGATTCCTAAAAAAATATTCAAATTTTTCAAAAATATCAAAAATGTCAAACCTATTTTTTTTCAAAAATAATTATAGCTTTTTTAAAAAAATTAATTTTCGATAAGGGAAGTTTCTGCAATTTGCCTTAAGTTTGCACCACTAGTTAAAATTAAAAAAATAGCTTTGAAAAAATCTAGATTTTCAAAAAACTTAGCAATTTTTTCAGTTTTCAGAAAATTTTATAGCTTTTTTGAAAAAATTAATTTTCGGTACAAGATGTTCTGGGAATTTTGCTTTAAGGCACGATGCCATGCACCACTAGATTTATTAAAATTTCAACTCACCAGCATAGGAATATTGGGTACGACGACAACGTCTTCTTCAGCTCCCGCCGAAAGTTCTTCGCTAAATCGGTACACTTTGCGTTGGTTGAAGCTGAGCGTGTTGTTGTCATTTACCTCGATGTCTACTTTCTCCCAATCCTCACTGAAATATGAATTGTCACATTGTTTAATTGTATCACTTTGAAAAGAAAACAAACTCCGTCATGCTCTATGCTTTCTTTCATCTTCATGCATCGGCAATGAAGAATGTGTATAATTCGAAGAAATTTGTAACCATAATTTCTTTGATTCTTTGTCAGTTAAAATGATCAACTACGTGATATAGTTAAGTTAGAAGTAGTAAATTATTATTAAAGGTATAGATAGCATATATCTGTTTGCAAAAAAATTGTACAAAAATCTGATTGTTATACATATTTCTTGTATTGCAGAGATTTTTTAGAATAATTATATATTATATATGTATATTAGGGTGGTCCTTAATATGAAAATTTTCGAATTTCATTGCTCCGAGGTGCCTAAGTGCTTCCAAATTGATATAAATAAATTCTCTAAATGTTTTAGTTCTTAATATTAACTTTTAGGTGGTGCGCAATTTAATCAAAGCTTCGTATAGAGAAACAGCATGGAAAAAATATCGAAAATTTAAAAAATGTTTTTTAGGTATAACTTAGCGACATGTGAATCAAAAGTGACAATTCGTGCCATCTTTTATACTTTGCAAAACAGGTTTTTAATAATTTGTTTTGTAGAGCGTCGAATTTTGAATAAAACTCATTCATTTGTTAGTTAAGCTATTTTAAAATTTTATTATCTATTATTATATTTTATTTTAAGAAGCATTAACAAGTTCGAAAACAGTTTCTAAATAATTTCAAAATAATTTATTATTCAAAAGTATGTGCTTATAACACAATGCTACCAACAGACGTGTATTGAATTTTCATGGCCAAATATTTCAAAATATATCTAAAAATACACGAACAATAGTTAGGTGTCATTGGTTTAGCGAGTGAATAATGAGTCTTATAATAAAATACTGTCGCAATAAAAGTATTTTTAAGTAAGCGTCTTACGAAAAAAACAGACAAGCAAAAAATGAAAATTTGCTACTTGAACGTTGGACTGTAAATCAAGGCAATTTGTTGCAAATATGTGATCGCTGTAATTATTTATTCATTAGTATATCATCACGGTATAAGATAATTGAGATTATCTATTAGATTTTTTGTTATTGTTATTCGGTATTAGAAATATTAATTTTGGCTTGCATGTTGCTATCGTTGCACTTTATTCAATGCTCCGGACGTATATTTTACAGGAATCAAAACAATACTCTTAAACTGATAGTAAATTTTCCGAAGAAGTTTGTTCTCGTGACAAAATCCGATATGCTAATTTTATGTTTTCTTGACAGTTCAAGTCATTCTGAATCGAATGAGACCAAATTTAGATAATGTATTTGTAATATATTAATTATAATGGAAGCCGATTTTTGGCCGATTTCAAAAATTTAAAAGCCTTTCGATGTACTTTTTTAATTACTAGAGTGACGATCGGCCGAACCGTTTCGTTGTAATTAGCAAAAAAGTGTCATTTTTTTCGTGATAAATCCACAATCCGGAATGAATTTTGAAAATTCAAAAATCGTTAGAAAGATATTGTTTTGAAATCGATTTGTTTTTGATAAAGATCAGCCGACCGTTTTCCTGTAATTACCTGGTGTAAAATTTTCTCGACGATTTTTATGAAATTTTTGACGAGAGTTATCATGGTCTTATAGAACATACTAAAATATTACGGCTCTACGACAAGTCGTTTAATTTTAAAATACACCACCGATATTGACAATGAGAAAACCTTAATTTCACTTATTCAATGTGAAAAATGAATGATCTGAAAATTCTCTTAGAGAGTATATAGCTTTGAGTTGTGGTTAATTATTCGCCTCTTAGAAATTAGAACGCTCCTCCCGTATTCAGCATTTGCATATTGCAAGCGGCCGTTTTGCAAAACCGTGCGAAAACAATAACGGATGCACTGGCACAGTTCTATTATGCACCTAAAATGGGACATTAAATGAATGAAAATACATACGATGTACCAATATTGCATTCGGCCACTCAAAACACATATATTGTGAACAATGATGCGCAAATTCCGTAATATTTAGAATTAGATTAGCTTATTGTACTTATTCTTAAGAAATTTTACATATTTTGATGCGTTGTTATTTTATGAGAAACAAAATCATTTATTTATCTATTATACGCATGCAAACATACGCTCTTTTTATACGCTTAAAAATCATGAAATAAAACGGAAAATCTTCGATTCGATTAAGTGAGACCAATATCTTACCCCCAACAAAAAAGTAATTTTACTATGAAGGAATAATGAATACTACACAAACCAACATTTTGCAAAGCTTTGCTTCGCCTAGGCCACAAAATTCTTAAAAAAATACTCGAAGGGGCCAAGTATGTCCCAAATTGGCTGATACACCGGGACTCCAATATGTTCATGGTAACAGAAGAAAACAGAAGACATGCATCAAGAACAAAACTAGACTTGAATATCATCCGAACCCACTTGCAAAAGAATTGCTTTCCTCAAACATCCCCAGAAAACTCAAAAAACTAATTCTTTAGATTTATCAAATTAACATGCAATGTAGGCTTATTATTACTTTGCTGTATCTTCATCTCATCTATTTTCTAGTAATTATATGGAAATAGAAAAGAAGAAATAATAGAATGTAAACCTAATAATTATTTCGACTAAAAATAAGACAATTACACATTTATATTTAATAATTTATAAAACATGGACATATAGAGAAACTAAGTTTAATAACACGATGGTGACGCAAAGTTAATCATGCTATATTATTAATGCATAATAAGAATTTTAGTAATATTTTAATTATATTGAAATGCTTTAACAATAAACCATTTTTATCAAATATTATTTTCACGTTTTTAAACATTTCATATTTTGGTAGAAACAACATATTTAAATTACAAGACATTTATTTAAACCATGTGCCCTAAGATTGAATTTTTTTGTCTTCTATTGCGCCGACTCTACATGAAAACTAATAATTACAGAGAAGTAGTTCAACTTATAAGTGACATTAATTTTTTATAAACAACTTAAAAAAATGAATTTTAAAATATGCATATAGATTTTAGTAATATATTTGTATTTTTTTATGAGAAAACATACTATTAACAGAATGATAGACAGGACTCTATACGGGATATATAGGATATACGGGCGGAAGGTTTAAACAATAATAACTTTTGTGCGGAAATGCAAAAATCAGTTTGTGGAAGATAATATAAAAGATGCACTAATAGACGGTCAGCGATTATCCCGTCGAGGACTTTTTTTATTGCAAGAAAACTATTCTAATTAGCTTTTTACGTGTAACATCTTCCTAGTATATTTCAAAAGTCTAAGAACCCCAAAAAATATGTTTTAGTTTTTAATTTCTACCCTTTAATTATTTTGTTTTTATTAACGAATTCATTTTTTTCGTGTGGTTGTTTTTCTAGTTTGAACTGCCGAACTCTGACACATTTTGTATCGGAAAAAAAATTCATACTTTAATGTTTAATGTACAACACGTTTATTGTAGCGATCAATGTCCAGTAAGTGCCATCACAAACACACACCTCCAATTGAGTTTAACTTATATGTGACGGGTGCCACATGTTTAATGTACAACGAATTGAATGTATCTATTTATACTACTAATGTGTAATGTCGTAACGTGTAATTAACCAGATTATATTAATTTAATAATTGGGAAAAAATAATTAGAATAATGAAGTACGATAATTAAACGTCGCTGTTATTACAGATATTAAGAAATCATTATCTTGCATAATCACTTGATCGTGGCGTTCCATCTTCCAGTTTTTAACTTTTAAATTTTTTTCATAACATGTTTACCTTGGGTCTGCTAGCGTTTTAATAATATAACAAAAACGCAATTCTTATTCTATTATTGATGACTTAACAATTACTTCCTTCATCGTGAGCATTAATTAATTTAGCAATTAATTCTCGGCAAAAATAAACGCGAGACGATTGGCTCCACAATCGACGCAGACGTATTGTAGTGCAATCATACTACAATGATGGTAATTGAAATTCGTAAAATCGCAATTTTTATTTACTTATAAATTAGTATATATTAAAAACATTCTTTAGATAATTTGCTACCATATTAGTCCAATTTCATTTTGAGTATGAAAGTAGATTTCCTCAAGAATATTTTAGACAAAAACAGTTTTCAATTCTGATCATAGCATATGCATATTCTTGGTACATAAAACTTCTATACAGGTTGTTCATGTGCCACAGCCCTTCACTTCTGAATTAATATTGATAAAGTTAGTGAATTTTAAGGCTGCTTGAATATTATTATATTTGATACATTTTCCATCGTAAAAACTAAAGACTTTTCGGAGTAAATTTTGGAACATAGATGAAATGCAGTTGTATAACAATTAGCATTGTGCAAAGTAAGGCTAATGCAAGATTTTAAATATCGTATTCGTCGAAACTTTATTGTTATACTTTCTCAAATTAAAAAAAAAGTTTTATAAAGAGCACACCGTCTTTGCACGAGTTAACAACAGTACTTACTTAACTTATAAAATATTACAAAAATAGAGAATTATAGATGAGTAAGGTATATTACAATATTCATTGGTTGGACATAATATATTTGCGTTAGTTCGGGTAAAATTACTTTCATTTTAATTCGAAATTATTTTAAATTAAAATATCAAAATATGCTTTCACCATAATTTGGAAGAATGAAAGATGGAATTTAATTCATAATAATTTAATTGTATCTACGGAAGCATTTAAAAATGCTTTAAAAATTATAAAAGATCTTTTCATAAGAGCGTAGTAGAGTAACACGTTTTATTTTGAAGTTTACAAATATGTTTATTATAAATTTATATTTTTTTCACATGAATTTTATAAAATCAATTTTCTAGTAAATAATCGAATACTTCCGTCAATTTTTTAAAATATATTCTAAATTATAGCTCCTAAAATGATTAGTTTTCTTTTATTTATTTTTATTTAATATAGTTTGAAGTAGGTACGTTTTCTACAATTCGGTATTAAGATTTTTTTTGAAAATTTACTGAACCGCATTACACTGACAGTAAAACGGGAATAATTAATAATAATATAAATATTTTAATCATAATAAATTATTCATATTATTATTGAATAAATTATATTATATATGTGAAAAAAATCGCAGAATATTAAAATTTTATATATTTAAATATATTACTTAATAGAATTACATAAATATAAATTACTAGAAAAAAAAGAAATGAATTGTATAATCATTATAATTGAAATAATATTCATTAAGTTTATCGAAAAAAATCTAACAATAAGTTTTAATAAGTTTTCCGCTATGTCGCCTGCTTACTTATAATTTTCTTTTAAATATATCAATTTTTGTTCGCAAAATATATGCAATGAGTTAATTATTATAAATATTTTTGCAATATTTAACTGTTTGAATATATAAATAAATTAAAAAAAATAATAAAATTATACACCGACGGGATTTGAACCCAATTATGTACAACTCTCTTATAAGCTACCGAGTACCGAGACATATCAAAAAGGATCACTGTAGTCCTACGAATTGCGCGTAGTCTATTTTTCTAAAATTCATTTTTATAATTAAGCCACTTCTCGTAGACCTATAATATTTCAAATTGTTCGGTTTGACTATTAACTCTATCACCATGCGAAGTTTCATCCAAAACTCAGAAGCGCAAACCTGAGGTTCTCCTTGTGAGTCAACATTACATTATGCTGAATGAATCAAAAACAATTATATCAGTATTTATAAGTGCGATTGAAACTTTTATGATTTTCAATTGTCTGAAAAGCATTGTCTTATATTTCATATGGGACATCGTCCATTCCTAGATGGGACATCAATCAAGAGACGCCATGTTATATATCCGAATCGAATAGTATTGTATATATTTATGAGATTCATCTCGGCATAGATTATAGAGTGCCGGGTGAAAACACGCATTATGACATTCCACGAGTGTTAATAATTGATTGAATAATGAACTTTTACTTTTGCGTAATATCTCGTCTTATCCGTGCTATCCAAGACTCGATGTCCCACGATTCTGAAATGACCGTGTGATACTTCTGTCGTTCCTATATTATGTATTCGATTTATTTTTAAATATGTGATATATATATATATATATATATATATATATATATATCACATATTTATATAATGATACGATATAAATTCCAATCGAGATGATAAAATCTTAATTTGTTTTCAATATATTTCATAACATGGAATTTTAACTGAATCAAAATTTCACGATCCAATTTTGATTATTTTCATTATTTTATGCTCGTAAAAAGTAAATAAAAAAACTGTTTATCATTTCTTATAAACGTGTATGTTAACCGCCACAATAAACATATGTCAAAATTTTCTTTTTTTTAAAAGTTTACAAGTAATGCTTCATTATATGGCCTTGAGCATTAAAAAGTTCTAACGGAGCTTTATTGCTATCAACAATTTATCAGTAATTTTTCGCCTCATTTTTGAACAAGGCACTCCTATGGCCTAGCAGTTAAAGCTATCGGTTTTAAATCAGAGGTTTCAGAAACAATAGGTGACATCGGGTTGCATTTGAAAATATAGATTACAATATTTGCAAGTTAAATGGCATTTTTCTGACATTGCTGCATCAATAAAAACTCATCACATGAAGGTAGAATAACCATTTGGATTTGATTAGCTTTAAGTTCACGTCGTTCTAGTTTTTCAAAAATGACACAGCTGCACAATTTTGAATATTTCGTAAAACGCTTGGTAAATAGTTAGTAGTTAGTCAAGTAGATAGTTAAGTAAATAGCCCCTAGCTCCCTTATAAATATATTAATGTATAGTAGTGCATCAATTATTTGCTATTTTTTTTTGTCGTGCATCCTTAAAATTCTTCTTCTTTAACTTCCTTTTAATCGAACAACATTTCTATCGTACAATATAGTAGGAAATTCCTATACGAGAGAAAATGTGATATATATCGTGTTCTCTCTAAACTTTAGCGTATGTAGTTTACGCATTTGTTATTAGATTAATGCAAATCGCTTTTATAAATACGTAATAACCCGCACAAGTCACGCTATTCACACTTTTTAAACACGCACACCTTTATTAAAACAGAGAGAAAATTGTTTATGAATTTGTAATGAAATCACTTAAAATTAACATTTTCTACATCATCATCAAAGAAATGATAGACTACTTCATGTTATTATATTTACCGTTGGAAAAGCCAACATATAAATATTTATCATTGATAAAGCCATTAACTGGCAATAAAGGATAGTCGAATTTGGAAAATATTCGCATTCTAGAAGTCATATATAAATACGCATATCCTTTGAATGACCTAAAATTCATATTCATATGACGGTTAGAACATTTGATTCTCTAAAATATAGTATATAAAATACAGTTATTATTACTTAAAGTTTCGCAAAGTTTCATCTTGAGATATTTTCTTTCGGTTTCTTTGATTTAGTATTTTTCGAGCATTTGTAGTTCAATATATGACATAGTAATCGGAGTTAATTAGAACATTGAATGTTATGTGGAACGTTGTGTCAGGGCAAAAGAACTAGTACATTTTTTCTAAGAAAACGAAAGGTTTACGTGGCAGTTCTAATATCAATTTAATATTCATTTATTGCTTACTTGAAAATCGATAAACACCATATAGGTAAAATTTGGCCAAAATGGTATACTCGTATATGGACGAAATGACACAGAGGGCCTTATTTAAAAATTGTTAGATTTATTAACGTTCCTGCAATTATATGGCATGAAGGAACCCTGCAATAACAACCCTGTCAGATGTTGAGCGTCATTGTCACAGTCTCGTCGGAGTAATCAGTCGTCAGTAATTTGAGGGTGATTCTGTCAAGTTTTTTGGCACTTTCATTTATTGTGCCTCTAACTTTATGCCAGTACTAGTGATTTCGATGAAATTTTATTGCAATTATCAGGCGTTTGACGGAATTTTGTTTAATTATTCATTTTTGCTCACTTTTGGACAAAATGATATATTTAGAATAGACAAAATAACATTTTGCCAGAAAAAACATGGTAATTTATGTGAGACCAAGAAAAAAGAAAATTTAAACAATTTTCTCGGTTCTGAGAACAAACAAAACAAAATTTTTCGGTTCTGAGCTTGGTGAAGTTTGGCTACAATGTTTGCTTTTTTCCCTTTGGGCTCATGCTGATGCCCAAATTGATGCTCATGCTGATATCCCAAAGAGGACCAAGCAATTTATTTGTGAACTGTTTTCTTCAAAATTTGTATCTCAGTATGTCTTTACCTTATATGTCATTTTGTACGTACTAAATGTACAAAATGGTTTTCTTAATAGGTAGCATTTCTTCTTAATAAGTTTGTTCTTATAGTTCCTATTTAAAAAACTATATTACTGGTGATATCAATGATGAGGTCAAAATGAGTGAAAACAATTAAGACTGAAAATATTATCATAAATTAAAAAAATAAATAAATACAATTGAAAAACAAAACACCATGTCATTTTGTCCATACTTCCCCTACTAATAAAAATATATTAAAAATTACGGTTTGGAATTATTACTTTATCACTTATATCATGAAATCAATAATTAAATGTAAAGTTTAAATTTCAAATGTCACGATATCTTTTAATCCTACCAATAATTATGATTTGAAAATCTATCCATAAATGACAATTTCGTTCCATATTAGTCTATTCGAGTTTGTAATAGAAACTAGTATTTTATAATAATATTAATTTCTTCGAAATTCATTCTCAAACTAATATGAGGAAACATTGATTCATGATACTGAAATGAAGCGGATGTTACAACAAATAGGCTTTTGTTCGAAAGTGCTAAATGTCAAACAAGTCGTCTGCAAATATTGCATCGACGGTAGTAACAGTACAAAGTGAGCAATTGATTGAAAACCATGTTGGAAAATACAATAGAATCTATTTCCTAATGTTGAACGGATAGATTAGGAAAATATAGATGTGATACTTACTATTGCTTCTATAATAGGGTGTGTAAGTGCGGTTACGTAATATTTTAAAATTGATTTATAGAATTTACACGATACTCTACAAGAATAGGTACAAAATAAAATCAATATAAAAAATATTAAAATTTGATGGATTTATATATATATATATATATATATATATATATATCACCCGGCTTTGTGTTGTAATTAATATGATTCATCTGAATTAAAATGAAGTAGTCGTATCAACTGTTACGGAAAATTCAATACGTTTGTATCTCTCGTACAAGTACGATCGAAGGATCAGTGCACTTTCAATATGTTGCAACATGTTTATCAGACACAATTCTAACGCCGCGCCGGTGCTACCTATATGGTAACTAAATATAGTGCTGAAGCTGATATAAAAGTGTAAATGTAATTAAAAACAATTTAAATACTATGCCAGTATTTCATATAGTAAGCTTTTAAACACTTTGTGCTTAAGGGGGGAACCTGCTTTAGAGGCTTAAAAAAATCGATTTTTTTATTGCACAAATGTCTTCCAAAACTAGCCAATTTCTCGGTTTTGAATTTTTTTGATTCTTCCTAATTGACGGAAAAGATTAGAAAAAAACTAAACGTCCTATCGAAACGAGACAAAATTCATTGTATTCAGGATTAAATTTTATTCTAGTTGAATCTAAAAAAAACTCTAAGAAAGTTATAATTAACCCACTTTTTAAACAATCTAAAGTGAAATTTTGTATAAAAAACATGATTTTATTTCAAGCTGCAAAAAATTGGTAAATTTCTCATTTTTTTCTGAATTTTTTAGGTTTTACTAGAATCTATACTATTGAAAATATATATTTGCTTTGATTTTTTTGTTTCGGATGGAAATTGTGACCTGCATCTGTCCCGCCAAATAACATCTGCACGCACGTGGCGCATCGGCAAAAAGCAAAATGTACCCGGCAATATTATGACATATAATATATATAAATAAAAAAAAATAAAAAGAATGTTGAAATATATAACAATAAAACCTGAAAGTTTCGTTTTAATTAAATATTTATTTCCTTTCCTAAAAACTCCTCAAAAAAGCGATTTTTTGAAGCCTCTAAAGCAGGCTCCCCCCTTAAGAGCTTCCCTTTGGGTAAGTTATTGTAATCGTCCAAAAATCGAAAATGAAAATTTTTGCATATCTTTACTTTGAACATTTTGGAATACCTTATAAAGCAAAATTGAATGTGTGTATGTGCGGATACAATATCCTGTCGACCATTTTGGGCTTACGGATCAACCGATTTAAATGATTCAAAAAGCAATCGATTCCTATTGATATGGAGACGTGATGAATAGTTTTGGCAAAGTCAGGTCCAACCATTTCAGAGATACGGAGTAAAAAGTGCGAAAAATGTTAATTCAGTTTGTGAAAAAATGGAGCGGCCAATTTGAATGATTCAATTCAAAATATTTTACTTGTATTGTAGAATCAAAGAACTGATTAAGTTTTGGAAAGGCAGGTTTAGCGGTTTCGGAGATCCAATAAAAAAAATCCCATATCGTGGTAAAAAATCATTATTAGACATATGCACATCTAATAATCACATATTTTAGCGAGGGTTTAATACTAAGTAAACATTTTGTTCATATTTCTATAGGTTCCGTACCAATGTTTGTCGGTTAGACTGTGCTGTGGCGTTTATACGTGCTTTGATATTTCGTCTCTAAAACAGATAAGCAACGCGATTGCTTAAAAAACATTAAAATTTTTCAAAATAGCTAATTTTCATCAAAAATTCCAAAATTCTTAAAAATCTAATTTTTTTAAAGTTTTCAAGAAATTTTAAAGCTTTTTGAAAAATTTTAATTTTCGTAAGGGACGATCCAGCAATTTGCTCTATAAGGCACGATGCCATGCACCACTAGCTAAATTTTGTTCTATAAATATTAAAATATTAATCGTTTACTGGCCCCATAGATCTTTTATCCAGCCACCAGATCTCGATCTGAATGTAATGTTGCAGATGTTACACAACTAGCACGCATCTAGTTCGCGTGCTTGGCTCTCGCGCTACTGCCGAAGTAATCGGTCATTTCCGTAACGGTTACCTGGCCGACTGTCGTCCGCTCTATTGACACATGGCACGGATTATTGTCTCATTGTCAGATTGGGGATTTCTAATGGTCTGTGTGCACAACTGATTATTTCCATATATATTATTTGATCATTTAACAGCCAGTGCGTCGAAGTAAACTGTTTATTTAAAATTGTACAGTTTGGAAAACGAAATTTGTCTTATCATTCAGCTGAAAAAGTATACTAAATTAAGTAGGTACCGTGCCCTGGTACGGTTGTGCCAGGGTACGGTAGTGACAGTTGTCATAAAAGCGAAACTATACAGAATTTGAGAAAAAGTCCAAAGGGAGAAAAATGAAGTATGTTAAGTATGAGGATTAAACAGATAAATAATTTAACTAAGACAAAAAGCAAAAGAGAAAGGGAAAGGTAAATTCAATATGAAATTTCTTATTAATTTTGTTCAAAAATGTTTGTTATATCTTTGTTGATGTTTTGTTATATATTCTTATATTATATTATTAAGCTTGTTAAGCCTTGTATAAATAGTTATCTTGTGTTTTGTTACATATTTCTGCCAATAAAAAGTTATTTTGGTGTTGATACTCATTGTTTTTTCTATGCCTGTCACAACCACACACACCACCCCAGGGACTCTTTACTTTTATGATTTAATTTTATGACTCCATCGTATTTAAGGACGGTATTTCAGTATTTTCACTTTGACTAATGTTTAAATTACTATTTAATTTACTTTTCTCCGAGCTAACTGGAAAATTAACAAAAATATTGCTGATCAAAAAGAAGTGGCACGGTCGTATCCAGTTTCTCCTACTGTAACACAAACTAAACATATACTGTATACAAATTATGGAAAACAAAACAACAATTTAATTTAAAAAATATCTAACATTTAGAGCCAAAAATTATGCATTTTCTGATCATAAAAAGCAAAATTCTTTCGTGAATTGAGGATGAACTATAATCCAAAGTATTGGCTATTAAATAATCAAATCCTTGTGATGATTTACCTTAACTAACTACATCGGTTTTATTGGTGACAACCCAAATGCTCTATCTCTATATGATAATTTCTTTATTATTACAATTTCTGTAGTCGCGATGATTTTTTATTACTGCTAGATTATCGTGCTAATATTATTATTAGGAAATCAATTTCGTTTATAATATTTACCATACTAGGGGTTGAATGAATGTAAACATAAAATTTAGATAGAAATGAATCAAGACATAACTAGTGGTGTATGGCACCGTGCCTTAAGGCAAATTGCTGGAACTTCCCGTACTGTAACGAAATGTTCGAGGAATACTGAATGTTTTCAAATAGATTATTAAAAATATTGTAACATTGTTTAATATTTATATGAATTATATAAACTGAATTGCAAAGTTGAAATTATTTGTTTAAAGTATATTAGAACTTTAGTCAGAATTAAAAATAAAATCTGATTTATTTACGATAAGAAAATTTTTTTTTTGAAAAAAAATATTTTGAAACAATTTTTTTTCCAAAATCAATTATTTTGTTAAAACAAGCAGAAAGTTCTTTGAATCATTTAAATCGGACGCTTAGTTCTATCAAAAAGTGCACTTTTTTAATATCTAGCTCTGTATCTTCGAAATGGCTGGGCCTACCTTTGCCAAAAACTAATAACCACTTTTCCCAATTATTTTTATTTTCCGCACTTTTTTCTCTTTATCTCCGTAACTGCTGGACCTGCCTTTGCCAAAAACTAATCAGCACATCTCCCTATCAATAGGAATCGAATATTTTTTTGAACCATTCAAATCGGTTGATCCGTGCGCCCGAAAAATTGTATACATACATACACACACATCCATTTTTTCTGAGGTATGCCAAAATGTTCAGAAACCTTCAAAACGTCGAGAAATGTAAAAATTTTCAATTTAAATTTTTGGACGATTACAATAACTTACCCTAAGTTATTAGTTAAAGGTAGTTAAAAATTTAATTTGTTAATGAAGCACATAAATGAAAGGCCAAAAATCTAATAAAATTACATATAATTAAAATAGTAACAACGCAATAATTTTTCTCTCTCTTGTATCGTTATAGTGTGAGATTCGAAATCAAAAGGTTAGATCATAGGCTTTCCTGAATTATTGCAACCAACAGTTATATTTTTAACCAAAATACTCAGCTGCCTATGCTTTAAGATATTAGGAATGGTACTGTAGTGTAGTGCATCCTTTATAAAATTTTTCATTTACTTGCATTAAATTTATGAATCTTATGAATTATCAAAATAGTATTTATTTAAATCTAATAGAAAAATTATTCGTTTTGTATTATCAAAATATCTATAGTAATTTCTTTTATAGCCCCATCATTAATTAATAGGTGATCGAAAAATTATAGAAATAAATGATATAGTTACTCGAAGAAATATACTATTATCAGTTATGATGTCTAATAGTTAAATGTTCCAGACAATGTTTTGCTCTACATTCACACCTGTTATCTTGCATGGCATAAAAAAAGATTTCATAATTCTAGAGTTGACGAATAATATTTATGATACGTAATTTGACGGCTCGAATTTGATCATTTCCTTGACTCTACATATTGAAATCGAAAACTTTCTACTTATTATTCTTAAACTTTTCATTCTGCACGTATGGAAATAAACATGCATACAAATACACATTATAAACAATACGCGTTTCCATAAAATATTTCGATAGTTTTACATACAAATTGATGTATTATTTCCTAAATTTCTTTCCAAATAAATAGATATAATATTTTGCAGTTTGAACGTATAAATCAACATAACAAACCTACGAGAATTTTTTTTGACAATGTTTTGTAGTTGTCTTCTAAATTACTTTATTTATCATTTTCAGTCTTTCCTTCCTTTGTCGCATTAAATAAATTATTTGGTAAATTTTGTATGTCATATTAGTAAAAATCGTTTCCTTTTCAAACAGACCATGAGTCCAGCTTTTATGAATAATTATGATGAACTTAATTATATAATTGGATAAAATTTGACGGTTGTGTATGATGCTTTTTCATAATTCATAATTTGATTTGGAACATAAGTATAATCTTAAAAACGCAAAATTCTTCACCAGTTTCTTGAAAGACATTTTGGTGGTAATAGATAATGATGATATATGAAAAAAATAAATTTACCTGTATTATTTCTGAATTAGTAGCAAAATTTACGTCTAATAATATCGACACTTTCGTATATTTACATCTATGTTACCACAATTTTAGAATCGTAATTAAAAAAAAATGATTTTTTCAAGATGCTATATGAATATTTTTATACCTTGAAGTTCTAATGTATGGCTTAAAGAAAAGTAATAGTGTATTAATTTAACTAGGCCACACGTAATATGAAGAAAATTTTCCTATTGTCAATTATGAGTTGCATTTATATTCCGAAAAAAATATTGCAATAACATATTATTACATGAGCATATAATACATATGCGTCAATAACATTCTTTTTAAATCGAGGCGTTTAAATAGACAGATCAATATTACAAGAATCAATACACTTTTGTTCCTCGGACTTTCTACTTTATGCAATCAATTCAGACATATTATATGAATTCTGGTTATTTAGTGTGTCGCAGATTGCAGACACAGTTCTTATACAATTTCAAGACATGAATGAAAAGATAAAATGTATCATATCAAGATCACAAAGAATTTTATAATTTGTAAAATTTTCTAAATATTCTTCATAGTTGAGTCAAAACTAATTATGTATAGTATAGGGTAGAGCGGGGTTTTCAAGGGTTCGCGGGTAAAAAGATTCACAAGCGATATCTCAAAAACAAGCAAAATTAATAATTTTTTAACAACAATATTATAAGTAGAAATATGAG